TATAATAAAAAATTTATTATTCATTTTATATTGTAGTTAGATTATAATTCGGTATCTTATGAAAGTTTATATAAAAAAAAACATACATCTTTATTAATCTTATATATAAAATTTAAACATTTATTTATTCTAATTTATTAATTATTGTTAATAATATCATCAATAGACCATTCATCTTCTATCGGTATATTACTTTGCTCTGAGACAAGTGTTTCTTGACTTATCTCAAATGCTTCGAAGTCGAAAAATTCTTCCATAATATACGTCTCGTCTACATCCACTATAATTTCTTCCAATTCTTCATTCAATTCCTCTGTTAGATTATCCTCTTCATCAAAAAAGATATCAACATTTTCATCACTGAGGGCACAGAGGTTGTTTTCTTTTCTTTTTCTTGGATATAGCTTTTTTTTTTAAGCTCGCTTCTGAGCTGTCCAATAATTGAGAGATTATCAGGAGTTAATCTGTTTCTTACTTTTGATTTAACTAATCCTACTAATGAAAAAAGTCGTTTATAGCTAGTTGTATGAAGAACGATAGCAAGAACTTTTAGTGCAAAGTAATGTAGAAGAGGAAAATTTCTGGTAAATTTGGTCCAAAATGATCGTAAAGATTGTGAAGAATCAGAAAAAGATATGTCGAATGGAGGGTAATTATTCTTATAATTAATTAGTTCATTAAGCAAAATAGTTGTATCTCTTTTGCTAAAATTTCACATTTTGGCTAATTCAAGTGAAGCCCGAATTATTTTATCTTCATTCATTTTCTTAGATATTGCAACCCGCTTATGATTCGGAGAAAGGAAAAGCACAATAAAAAAAATATTACTGTTGAATTCTCTCGCATGTTTGCTAATAACAATAAGCGTGTAAGCTCAAAGACTAGTAATATGGTCTTCAAGCTGAGATACTTGTCTATATATATAGATAGGTTCTTTAAATATATCAGCCAGAATGGAGTCATTTGACTCTAGCCTTCCAATAGCATCGACTATTGGTTTTATTTGTTGTGTTAATTCATAATTATCCATAAAATGATATTTGTCATAGATAATATTTTTAACTGCTGTATTCTCAATTTCAGGGTATTTAGGCCATGAACTTTCACTTAATGAAAGGCAATATTGAAAGCCTTGTTCATAGACTGATATATCCATGCAAATCTTAGCTAGCGAATACCAACTAGTTTTGCAAAATGTATCCAAGAAATGTCCTATTTTTTGCTCTTTTTGCCAGTTTTGTATCTCCTGACGCCAAATATATGATACGTTAAAGAAATTGACAAGTTTCTGATTCTTTTTACAAATCGTTGTGATATCAAGAAAACTACAAATATCTTTAATGATCAAATTGAAGACGTGTAAGCAACAATAAATAGAGATTATGTTAGGGTACTCTTCCTAGAATTAATAATTTGATGTAAGTATTTATATTAACTATACAAATAAGAAAAGCGTAAAATGATATTACAAGCATGCAATAAGTCAATTTTGTACTTATAATACAGTCATACTTGAGTGATTTATTTAGTGAAAATAATTTTATATATGACTGTATATTAATTTTTATATTTATATACTTACATGAAGTAATCATCGCATTTTGCCCATATTCGAGAGATTATCAGTAATACAGGTGATAATAGATGGCATTTTAATGCTATTTACAATTAAAACTTTCTTTAATTTATCTTTAAGGAAGTCACTAGTATGGCAATGGGCAGACAAATCAAGTACATCTATCACCATTTCTTGATCCTCTTTAAGAGCCATAAACCTATATACTGAATTCCGGAATTGTCTGTCCATCCGTCAAGAGAAATCATAATATCAGTTAGAGTTGGAAGTATATTTAACTTTTTCTGAAGATGATCTGAAAACATCTCAGTTAATAAACGTTCTTTGACTATATTTCTGGTGGGTGGATTGTATGAAGGATTTAAGTTACGAAGAAAATCCTGAAAATACAGATTATCAACAAAATTAAAGGAAAAATTTCTATGGATGGTAGATTTTAGAAGCTTTTTATAAAGCTTTTCGGACTCTTCATGAGGCAAAGGACGAGTACACCAACTAAGAATTATATTTTGACGAGGTGCAGGAGGTCACTGCGTATTATCACTATCATCATGGGTGTTGGCTCAATAAATAAATCACCTTCCTCATCTTCCTCATCATTGATATTATCATTAGTGCGTTTGCAGGGTATAAGGCTTTCTTCTTTAATTTTTTGGATATATTTAGTTTTTTCAATGGCAGGCCAATCATTACACCAAAGAGCATGATTATAGAGTTGGTAAGGTTTGCCGCTTAGTTTAATCAAACAATAACGGCATTTTGCAGTATATCTATTTCCATTTTTTTTATATTAGAACGATAAAAACCTGTCCAACGTTTACCTTGGGTTGAAAGTGGAAGAGAAAAACCAGAAGGAATTTGGACAATGGTGTTAACAAATGCTTCCATATCTTTGAAGATTTTATTTTAGATAAATATAAAGATTATTATTTAAGGTTTTATTTAATGCAAATTTATGTTTTGTTTTTAAAAAATCAAACTTTAGAAGCTCTAATGATTTACTCAAGGTAAAAAAGTACGATTTAAATATATTTTACGTTTATCTAACTCTTACATCTTTGTTATAACATCTAATCCTTTTTTTTACAACCAGATGATTCATTATGCTATAAATTGTGGCCCTTCTGAAAACGATCTTAATCACACAATCATGTTTTTTGCATTAATTCTGTTTGCTTAGAATGTGTAATCCAAATAAGGTATAAAGAATTTTTAGATTATACGACTAATTTTGGGAGGGCTTAGAGCGTACGTACGTATTAACAATCATTATTTTACTAATGGGAAAATTTTCTGTTGACTTGGAATGCATAATACAAATAAAGTATAGAGAATTCTTAAATTCTATAACTAATTTTTGGAGGGCTTAGATTTTACATATTAACAATAATTATCTTACTAACGGGAAAATAATAATTACAAATAAACAACTCTGCATAATTGTTGCATATATTTTACACGAGTAATTTATAATGATTATCAAATTTGACCTCCAGCAGACATTGGCAAAGTAATGAATAATACTATGCATGCAATGTGTCGCCAATTTTTTGATTAATAAACAATTTAATAAATTTTTAATTGAAAAAAATTGAGTCCGTTAAGCAGGACCGACCTTTACATGGAGTTATCATTTACACTGCCCAAAAATTATATGCAAATTTACCTAGTGCAAACGTATAATCGCTTAAAAAAAATCACTCTATACGTATACTTTATGCAAAATAGATATGATATTTAAAACAAAGGAATTGAATTATGTAGCGATAATCTTCGCTAAAAAAGTCTATTCATTTTGACAAGTGTACTTGTAAACCATTCAATAAACAAAAATAACTAAGGCTGTACAAATAAAATTAATTGTTTCGTAATATACTAAGGTTAGAATGCATCCGGAACTGACCATTATTGTATAAGTATAAAAATGGCTATATAAAATTTAAATATTCATTTTAATATAGAACCATGCATGTGAAGCTTCACTTTCATAAGGTTCAAAAAAAATTAGAATTGGTGTTTATACAAAGAGCTTTCGCACTTTTCCGCCTACAGAATCGGGTCACTAAATCCAATGTCTAAAGTTAAAGTAGTATCTATACAAAGGGCCCCACAAGTACTTTTCTGCTCTTGGAATCGAGGAGATAAATCAGTTATATCCTGTATAGTTGGATATAAGCGAAATTTTGCAATAAAGTGTAACTAGCCGCTTACACGGCGCTTATACTTTACTACAAAATTCCGCTTATACCCAACTGCTCAGGATAACTATTATTTATTACCTGGTTCAGGAAGATTTAAAAGCCGACTTGTGTAAATGGCTTGTGGGTGTGTTTGATAATTGATCGTGCAAATTTGAATTAATTAATTCAGTTTTTTCACTTTTCAAAATTCCATAATAATCTAACGTATTACTAAATCTTTAGCAGTTGGTCGGTTTGAGATTCTGCGACTAAGGCTCCAAAAATAAGTTACGTTAGGATCAAGAAGTTAGGAATTTTTGGCTACAATTAATCTAGTTTTTTAAATTTTCAAACCTTCATAAGAATGATCTAGCGTATTAGCTAATTCTTCGGTTTTGGAGTTCTACGTCTAAGAATCTATTCAATTAGACTTTAGATCTAACGCTAATGTTAAAGTTAAATAGAGAATAGAGTATAAGTGTACTTAGATCTAACGTTAAAGTTAATAAACTATTTAAACTATAGAGTATAAGTATACTTAGATCTAACGTTAAAGTTAAGTTAATAGTTGCTTAGATCTAACGTTAATGAAAGTATGTCGGGAAAATTCGGGATGACGGGAATTTTCGGGAGATATAGCAATTTATTTTATAAAATCGACGAAATATAATTTATATTTACAGGGGGCATGCCCCCCAGGCATGCCTCTAAAATTTTCCGTGCCTCCAACCCTACTGGTGATGCTAGGATGGTTTGGTATTAGTAGGCATGAGTAATATAAACAAAAAAAGGTTAGTTATTCGAAGAATGTGGGGTTTATTTATCCGGACCAGCCAACGTGTGCATAAAGCGAAGAATAGAACAAATCGAAAAAAGCGAAAATGCAGTGTCAAATATATTTTATTATCATAAAAAATGATTATAAACTGCTTTTACAGTCACACTAGTTTCTGGGGATGTATAACTAACTTACACAATACTGAATATCTAATACTAATCAGTAAATTGAAATTTAATCTGATAGAATTTCTTAGTCTAAAGACATAATTCAGTTAGCTTTTTTTCATATAGCTTCAATAATTAACCGACTTGCTCTCCAGGCAACCATAGCTGTGGGTGCATTAATGTTTCCGCTTGGAATATAAGGAAATATCGATGCGTCAACAACTCGAAGATTTGTAGTACCATAAACTTGAAGTCGATGATTGACTACTCCATCTTTAGATTCTGGTGCCATTTTTACTGTTCCACTTGAATGAAACGTCGTAGTTGCCTAAATATAAAAAATAAGATAATGATGGTGTTAAATAATTTATATGAATGACATCTATTCATAATGTAAAAATACGAACCCTTTCCACAACAAACTTTTCCCAATCCTCATCACTAATATCATCCCCGTTGGTACTCCATTGCCCGTATTCATCATTTATCCCAACTTCCTTAACATTGTAAACAGTACTCAATGGTGGCTGCTTAAGTATTTCGCGACATAATTTTAGTGAGCTGATCATTCTATATAAATCATCAGATTTTTCGAAATAGTTTAGATGTAGTCTTGGTTTATCGAATGGATTGTTGCTATTAAGTTCTAGATAACCAACACTTGATGGGATATTAAGAACTGTCAACATAATAATCCCACTGATTTTATGATTTGACAATTCTTTTATAAAACCGGATCTGTATGGCGTCACTGTTTATATAATGCTATAGTAAAGAAACGTAGTTATATAAATGCATATTTACTGTAACTAAAACATACCAATAATTTGTATATCTGGATTCTCGTCAAAAAAGTCTTCTTTGCAAGGAATTTTTCCTTCAACATTAGCTTTATGTATTATCCCAATTTCAGATCCACCACTCCAATGGTGAATTTCATCTGGATTTGCTTTTGCAGCAAATAGGCAGGATGGATGATCCCACAAATTTCTTCCAACTGGCAGTTCTTTCCGTACCTTTATATTATTTTCTTCAAGATTTTCTTTCGGCCCAATACCAGAAAGCATCAATATCTTTAGAAAAAAGTAATTCAAGCCAGTTTACTACTATAATATACAATTACTGCAACATTATCATTATTATTAATTTTTCTTATTCTTACCTGAGGACTATTAATAGCTCCACCACAAAGAATGACTTCACCTTTTGGTGCAATAAAAGCCTCACGCACTGTACCATTGCAAAAATATCTTACACCGATCGCAATATTTTCTTTTTCATTCTTTTCGTCCCAAATAATATCTAATACATGAGCATATGATCTAATATCTACGGCAACAATTTTTCCAAATTCATATGGATCTGAACCTGAATGTAATTCGACTTTTTTTAGTGCATCTTTTAAATAGCCTTCAGCCAAAGAACACCTTCTTCCTTCTTTATTTGTAAACTATAAGTGCAATTCAATTAACATATTATGATTTTAGTATGTTAATTTAAAAAAAAAACTATGTACAGTATATGCGAATTTATTATTTCAAAAACCTGGTATGTTCCAACTCCATTTTGTCTTTCACCGTTAAAATCTTCATTATAAGGAATT